GCACTGCGCAAGAAGCTCAAGAATCTACATAACAAATCCCAAGTTTCTATCTTTTATAGATTTCGAAATCTCAGCGTTCATACGGACGGACCGACAGACGGGCATGGCTAGATCGACACGGCTAGTGATCCTGATCAAGAATAGGAAACGCTTCCTTCTACCTGTTACAGTCTTTCTGTCAAATCAAGAATACCATTTAACTCGACGAGTAACTGGAATCATAATAAAAATACCGTTATATTTAGTTTTCGATAAACATATACGGTTGGAAATAGAAATGGAATATTATCTTAAAATTTCTGTAAATAGATTTCAGTTTTCTTAAAATCGAAATGCTCCCACAGGAACGACATGCAAGGGTCGGTCACGGATGAAAACTGATTTTTAGAACTGAAGAGTAGAGAGTAAAACTTGACCACTAGTGGTTATGAGCCTTGTTTGTTTTAATTGAGTGCCCCGCCCACTCTAACGCCCTATTGATACTAGAGAGCTAATATTTGTGCAATGCCCTTGCAGATGGTATAATGATTTCAGTCAGAAGTTTGCAACGAAGTGAAGGAGACGTTTCTGACCCCATTAAGTATGTATATTCTCTATTAGCATCACTAAACGAGTCGATTTAGCCATGTCTGTCCGTTTTATCGGAATCTAGTCTGTCGGTTTCAAAGCTATCGGTATGAAACCCTCCCAAATGTCTTATTTTGCCACGCCCACTCTAACGCCCATAACGCTTAAATCTGTATACCGCCGGTAGGTGGCGCATTTTAATCTCGCTTTGTTGCTTGCATATCTCCATTTAGCTGAGTAACGGGTATCTGATAGTCGAGGTACTCGACTATAGCGTTCTTCCTTGTTATATTTCAAAAGCTTAAAAGCAAAAATATTCTGTCATCTATTGAGTATACTCATGAAAAACTTCGGTGGAAAAATTCCAGCAAAGTTAAATACAAAAGCTCTTTTTTCCCCTTGAAAAGATGTAGGGTAAGGTGACGAACTGATAAATACACACTAAGACTCTATTCAAATTTAAAATTTTTTTTTTCTTTAAGAGAAGTTGAAAATGTATGATTATGGAATGCAAATTTAACTGTACCCTCAAAAAAATACCTACATCAGTTCTGGGTTAAAATAGAACAAATTAAGTTGTCCAATTTATATTTCAAAAATTAAGAAAAAATAATCATTTATTAAGTTATCGGCTGTAGAAATAAATCAAATAACGATATTATGTCAACAAATACAAAAAAAAAAATGAAATCTTCATACCACTTCCATAAAGTTCAAAAGAATAAAACACAAAGTACCAATAACTGTTGCTAAAGATCTCGTTAACACGTGTGTATATTTATCTGACTTGGTCTTTTACAAATCTTTGATCTGGCACTGCTGAGACCCTTTTAATTAAATAGGTTTCTTAATTTTTGTTCCACCTGTTAGGTCAAAGTTATCTTACGAACAAATAACGTGAATTAGTTGTAATAATATTGTTAATACATTGTCGGCACGAGAGAAATCGACTACAGTTAATTGGAATTTTTGACGTGACGTCACATGACGAGTTCTTCACCATACATTACTCGTCAGCTTACCCTAAAATATATTTAAATCTTACATTTATTTTTAGTAATATAAACCGACTGCCCGAATGATCCTGACAAATGTTTTCGCAAGGCGATCCAATAAATTCAATATAAACAAGGAAGAACGCTATAGTCGAGTACCTCGACTATCAGATACCCGTTACTCAAAGGGAAATGGAGATATGCAAGCAGCAAAGCGAAATTAAAATGCGCCACCTACCGGCGGTAGACAGATTTAAGCGTTATGGGCGTTAGAGTGGGCGTGGCAAATTTATTTTTGGATCAATCGATAGGTATTGACGACACCAATACATTTCAGTTAAAATTTTTCATCTAGCATCCAAATTGTGGGCGTCACAGGTTTTCGCGGTTTGTGGGCGTTTAAGTGGGCGTGGCAAACTTTTTTTTAGGTCAATCGATAGGTATTGATGAGAACAATACATTTCAGTTAAAATTTTCTATCTAGCATCAAAACTGTAGGAGTTTCAGTTTTGGGCGGTTTGTGGGCGTTAGAGTGGGCGTGGCAGTCTACTGAAACAAACTTGCGCTGCGTAAGAAGCTCAGTAATCTGTACGCCAAATCTCAATAGCCTAGCTCTCATAGTTTCCGAGATCTCAGCGTTCATCCGGACAGACAGACGGACAGACGGACAGACGGTCAGACGGACAGACGGACAAACGGACAGACGGACAGACGGACATGGCTAGATCGACTCGGCTAGTGATCCTGATCAAGAATATATATACTTTATGGGGTCGGAAACGCTTCCTTCTGCCTGTTACATACTTTCCGACGAATCTAGTATACCCTTTTACTCTACGAGTAACGGGTATAATGAGTAAGAAACAACCAAAAAAATTAAAATCCATAAAAAGAATTATAAAGAAACTTATACAAATAAAAAAAAATTTATTTCAAAAGCCTTTTTTCCATTTTTGTCGATGACATTTTATATTTTGTCAAAAATGTTCAAATAAGCTGTCCCGAGTGAAAAGAAGACATCGTGTACAAATGTCTATATGGAGTGTAACTCATGCGTCACGCGTGACATTCGGTCACGGATGAAAACTGATTTTTAGAACTGAAGAGTAGAGAGTAAAACTTGACCACTAGTGGCTATGAGCCTTGTTTGTTTTAATGGAGTGCCCCGCCCACTCTAACGCCCTATTGATACTAGAGAGCTAACATTTGTGCAAAGCCCTTGCAGATGGTATAATGATTTCAGTCAGAAGTTTGCAACGAAGTGTAGGAGACGTTTCTGACCCCACTAAGTATGTATATTCTCTATTAGCATCACTAAACGAGTCGATCTAGCCATGTCTGTCCGTTTTATCGGAATATAGTCTGTCGGTTTCAAAGCTATCGGTATGAAACCCTCCCAAATGTCTTATTTTGGCGTTTTTGACATAATAACTTATACTCTTAGGAATATATTTCTTTTAATATTTCAGAATAAAAATTTTTTTTTAACATCGAACGATATTATTAAAATACTTCCTTTGAATCAAAACAAGAGGAAACGCCATAGTCGATGGCCTCGACTATAAGGTACCCGTTACCCAGCTATAAAGAGTGCGAGAGGGATGGAGACATACCACCACCAAGCCTACAACACCAACTAGCGGCGCCCCTAGCGACGTATTAGTTAAAACTGCTGATTAGAGTGAGCGAGGCCCCTTGCTGAAACTAACTTGCACTGCGCAAGAAGCTCAAGAATCTACATAACAAATCCCAAGTTTCTATCTTTTATAGATTTCGAAATCTCAGCGTTCATACGGACGGACCGACAGACGGGCATGGCTAGATCGACACGGCTAGTGATCCTGATCAAGAATAGGAAACGCTTCCTTCTACCTGTTACAGTCTTTCTGTCAAATCAAGAATACCATTTAACTCGACAAGTAACTGGAATCATAATAAAAATACCGTTATATTTAGTTTTCGATAAACATATACGGTTGGAAATAGAAATGGAATATTATCTTAAAATTTCTGTAAATAGATTTCAGTTTTCTTAAAATCGAAATGCTCCCACAGGAACGACATGCAAGGGTCGGTCACGGATGAAAACTGATTTTTAGAACTGAAGAGTAGAGAGTAAAACTTGACCACTAGTGGTTATGAGCCTTGTTTGTTTTAATTGAGTGCCCCGCCCACTCTAACGCCCTATTGATACTAGAGAGCTAATATTTGTGCAATGCCCTTGCAGATGGTATAATGATTTCAGTCAGAAGTTTGCAACGAAGTGAAGGAGACGTTTCTGACCCCATTAAGTATGTATATTCTCTATTAGCATCACTAAACGAGTCGATCTAGCCATGTCTGTCCGTTTTATCGGAATCTAGTCTGTCGGTTTCAAAGCTATCGGTATGAAACCCTCCCAAATGTCTTATTTTGGCGTTTTTTGACATAATAACTTATACTCTTAGGAATATATTTATTTTAATATTTCAGAATAAAAAAATTTTTTTAACATCGAACGATATTATTAAAATACTTCCTTTGAATCAAAACAAGAGGAAACGCCATAGTCGATGGCCTCGACTAAAAGGTACCCGTTACCCAGCTATAAAGAGTGCGAGAGGGATGGAGACATACCACCACCAAGCCTACAACACCAACTAGCGGCACCCCTAGCGACGTTTTAGTTAAAACTGCTGATTAGAGTGAGCGAGGCCCCTTGCTGAAACTAACTTGCACTGCGCAAGAAGCTCAAGAATCTACATAACAAATCCCAAGTTTCTAGCTTTTATAGATTTCGAAATCTCAGCGTTCATACGGACGGACCGACAGACGGGCATGGCTAGATCGACACGACTAGTGATCCTGATCAAGAATAGGAAACGCTTCCTTCTACCTGTTACAGACTTTCTGTCAAATCAAGAATACCATTTAACTCGACGAGTAACTGGAATCATAATAAAAATACCGTTATATTTAGTTTTCGATAAACATATACGGTTGGAAATAGAAATGGAACATTATCTTAAAATATCTGTAAATAGATTTCAGTTTTCTTAAAATCGGAAAGCTCTTCACATACAATGCTCCCACGGGAACGACCTGCAAGGGTAAAGAAACTTCAGCTGGCCGAAGTTTGCTTCCTTTCTTGTTAAACATTTTTTTCAGTGAAAGTTTAGTTTTTTTTCCTTTGGCATGCAAAGAATGAATTAAATCACACCGTTAGTTAGAGATTAAAATTGGTCAGCTGAGTAACTGGTGCACGATTGTAATATTAAGAACACTTATTCTTGATTTAATGGCACAAGTGTCGGGATTCCACTTTAACATTTGTGTAAGTTTAAAACGGTTAAAACAATAAACAACACTCATCAGATGCGGTGCCATTACACCAAAGTTACTGAAACGTAACCGAAACTCGTTGTATGCATATGTTGCTGTAGCACCGGTATCTCACTAAGACGTTAAACACCGCCAACTCAGTTTCAGTTTGTTTCAGTTAACTAGCGGGAAACATTGTCGTGGCCAGAGCTTTAGCTTCAAACTAAAGAGAACAGTTTGGTTGCTTTGTTTTATCGGGTTAAGTGTTAATGTGCTAATTAAAATATTTGGGCTAAAGTATTGCGACGATATTACTCATACTGTAAATGTCCAAATGAACAAGGGCTTTTTTTTAGCATTGTTTGATAACTATACCTTTTTATTATATTTATATTAAAATGAGAAATTACAAAATTAGCTTGCGTCGGTGAAAGTGTGTTAACGGTTTTGTATATCTCCGAGTATTGACGTCTAATAAACATAGCTGCTGGCCTCATCTCAAGCTATTTATGCACAAGCATCGAGGATTAAATTGCAGAACAATATAATACACATTTAACACGATACTGTCTAAAATAAACCAAGATATTCGCATATTCGTTAATCTATAACAAACCTTCCCTCTCTCAAATTAAAAAACAAATAAATACGCATTGGACTTTTGTAGAACCAACTAAATAATGAAGTAAGAGAAAATTGAGGGTTAAGACTCTAGTTCTAACACCAAAATAGGCTAAGAAGGATAATGGTAGTTCCTGGTGGAGTTTGCCCTCTAGATCCAAAAAAAAAGGAGTCAATCGAATTAAAAAAGGTGGTCTTTTAATATTTATTGAAGACAAATAATTTTGGAAGCTTCGTGCTTTATTCGATTTTTAGTTGAGTTCCACTTAGCTGGACAAAATACATAAACATTTTTTTTTAGATCTTAAAAAATTTTATTTAAAGCTCAGTGATCCCTGCTCCTGAATTTTTAATTTTTGTGTAGATCAACGTGTTCCCTAAAACATTGCAATGCAGTTAACGGGCTTACACTACACATTTTAAATATCTTAAAAAAATCTATATTCTTATCGATTTGTTCAAAAATCGTATTTCTTGGCTTCTTACTAATTGCCACTTTTGTCTGACTTTTCGTAACAGACGTTTTACAATCACTAAATTATTAAAAAATTATCATGGTATTTGAACTAAACACCCGCGGGAAACGTGCGATGGACCAATGGTAAGGTTAATGTCTATGTGCGAAACGACCCCAGTTTAAGTACGCGCTGATGCAGAGTACGCCATAAGAATCTTAAGAATATCATCTAACAATTTCTTATAAATTGTAATAACAAAGTTGTATTTAACAATCTTTCAGATTTCTCTCAAGTCCGCCTGTGCGTGTGAACACTGTAATCCCCGAGACTATAAGAGTTAAATGATTGAGACTTCAGATTTAGATTCCTTATCTATGTAAGTCGCGGAAGTTTGTTATGCGAAAAGGACACGAAGCCCACAAACCGCCCAAACCTGTGTATTGTATATGTTTTGTTCTCGTCAATACGTTTCGGCTGAACAAAAGAAATGTTGCCACGCCCACTATAATGCTCACAAACTTCCAAAAATAGTTTTTTGGAACGCTGTTTTCTCGAAGAATATCAAAGATAGAGAATAGGAATTTCAGATTTGGATTTCATAAGTTTGTGCGCAGCCTCAAGGTAGTAAAAAATTGTTTAACGGAAATGTGTTGGTCTTGTCAATACTTACACAGCGAACAAGAGAGAGAACGCTATAGTCGATGCAATCGACTATCAGATACCCATTACTGCGAGCACTCAGGGAGTGCGACGGAGATAGAGATATACTCGAACAAGTAGCAAAGCATCTGTTCCCAGATTGAAAACTTTATTTCCTTATAACTTTATAATGAGTAGCCCTTATTTGAAAATTTTTGGAACGTAGTTAGACATTGATAATCAAAACAAAATCCTCTTTTAATTTTCTGAAAATATTTCAAAAAATGAGGGTGCTAGACGGGTCTTAGCGTTATGGGCGTGTGTGGTCGTTAGAGTGTGCGTGGTATACTGCTGCAACAAATATATTGGGTGGGCAAGAAAGTCATGTCGTTTTTTTTAGTAATCGTTTTTAATCTAATTTATTTACGACTAATCGAGCACCAGGGTCACACTTTTTAGTATCGTTTTAAAGCTTATTGTCTTAGGTACTATCGACGAAAATTTGGTAATTATTCAATAACATTTGTGGAAGCTATAGCAAATTAAACATGGAGGACCAAAGTGAGCATTTTCGGCATATTTTGCTTTTTTACTTCCGAAAAGGAAAAAAAGCGGTCGAAGCTCGCGAAAAATTGTGCGAAGTGTATGGTAAAGATGCCATGAGTGATCGCCAATGTCAGCGCTGGTTTGCCAAATTCAGGCTTGGAGATTTTGGAGTTAAAGACGCCCCACGTTCTGGTCGACCATCGGCCGTTTTTGACGAACAAATTCAGGCTTTGCTGGATGAAAACCGGCGCTATTCAACGCGGGAGATGTCAGAGAAGCTCAGTGTGTCGCATACAACGGTTGAAAACCATTTGAAGAAACTTGGCTACGTAAGCAAGCTCGATGTTTGGGTTCCGCATAACTTAAAGGAAATTCACCTAACTAAGCGTATCAACATCTGCTATTCTCTGCTGCAACGGATTAAAAACGATCCTTTTTTGAAGCGGATCATTACTGGCGACGAAAAGTGGGTTGTTTACAATAATGTCCAACGAAAAAGATCATGGAGCAAGAAAGATGAGCCAGCCCAAGCCACATCAAAGGCCGATATCCATCAGAGGAAAGTTATGCTGTCTGTTTGGTGGAATTGGAAGGGTGTAGTGCACTTTGAGCTGCTGGGACGGAATGAAACCATCAATTCAGATGTGTACTGTCGCCAGCTATCCAATTTGGCGGAAAAAATTAAAGAAAAGGAGCCGGCACTAGCTAATCGCAAGGGTATAGTCTTTCACCATGACAACGCTAGGCCCCACACATCTTTGGTCACTCGGCAAAAATTAACGGAGCTGAATTGGGAAGTGCTACCACATCCACCTTATAGTCCGGACTTAGCACCTTCAGATTACCATTTGTTTCGCTCTCTTCAAAACTCTTTGAATGGTAAAAACTTTGATTCAGATGAGGCTGTCGAAAACCACTTGTCTCGATTCTTTGCTGGAAAAGACCAAAAGTTCTTCGAGCGCGGAATTATGCAGCTGCCCGAGAGATGGTCATTAGTGGTCGAACAATACAATACATAATTGATTAATTATAAGTCCTGATATAAATAAATCATCTTTGAAAATATTGAAAAAAAACGACATGACTTTCTTGCCAACCCAATACATGCCAAATGCTAACTCTCTAGCTTTTATGGTTTACGAGATCTCAGCGTTCATACGGACGGACGGACAGACGGACATGGCTAGATCAACTTGGCCAGTGATCCTGATCAAGAATATGTATACTTTAGATCTAGGAAGCTAACTTCGGCACGCCGAAGTTTCCATACCCTTGCAGGTAGTTACCGTGTGAGCATTGTATGTTCAGAGCTTTCCGATTTTTAGAAAACTAAACTAATTATACGAATTTTAGATAATGTTCCATTTCAATTTACTACCGTGTAATATAACGGTATATGTATTTTGTTATTTAAGTTCCGATCGTTCCTTTGGCCGATTTGATTTAAAATTATTCGAGTTCTGAAATATTCAAAGAATGATATTCCCAAAAGTATATGTAAAAAAAACAAAGTTTGAAATTTTTTTTTGTTATTCCTATGGGAGTATATAATTATCCGAACCGTCTTGTTCCGACTTATATACTACCTGCAATAGAAATTAGACTTTTGGGAAAGTTTATTTCCGATATCTTTAAAAATTATTGCGTAGAAACGGACGGACAGACGGACATTGCTAAAATGCGAAAATATCTTAATATTTCTGTAATTAGTTTATAGTTTGCCTAAAATCGGAAAGCTTTGTAAATACGATACAATACTACCACGGTAACGACCTGCAAGGGTATAGGAACTTTGGGTTGCCGAAGTTTTCTTCCTTTCTTGTTTCGTGGCAATTTGTAATTCAGATTGATATACATATAATGTCAATATTGATATAATGTTAATATTGATCTGTGTTGATTTTACTTTTTTGCTTCTTGTGTACAATTTAATATTAAAAACCTTATAAATTTGTTTAAATTATTTATTTTATTATTTATTTCATTTATCAAGAAATGGCCGATCACTCTGAACTCGCACCCTTCATGTAGCTTTGCACCTGTACAAAGGAGTCCTTCTACTGTCCTGGATAGATGACTCCCTGCGAAGTGGTGGACGCCAACTATCCCTGCTCGCCATCCTGTCCAGCAACAGTCCGGCACAGACAAATTAATAGCGGCACGTTACAGTGTCCAAGAAGAAAATAAATGCGAGTTAGACAAACATTAAGTAAATACATATGAATTCGAGTAACTCCATTTGCAAAATAAAATAAAAAGCACAAAATGTTTCAATTTTATATAAAATTGTTCGTCAAATGTCAGAGGGACCGCGGCAGTCTGTCAAAAAAACGTCTTTAATATCATACTAAATACCATAAATACGCTAAAAAGACGAATGCGCAATTATACATTTTTTTTTTAAATATCTCGATGTTTCGTTTGATATGAAATATATATATTCTTTTCAATATGTCATAGATTTATATCAACATTTCTAATTCACATGATTTTGGGTCATATTTATATGAATTCGTATAATTTTGATATGAAAAACGATACATATGAAAATCGTGGTGTCACTATCAAACGTTTATTGTTTTGTTTTTTCACTGTGTATATGCTAGAGCCCTGCTGGAGTTTAATTGTAAGTAATCACTTCTTCTTTAAGTTGACTTGAATTGTGCACTAATTCTAACTCGGAAAAATATTTTCAAACGAAACAAAGCAAGTATAGGAATATTCATGTCTACTAAATTCAAATGCGAGTGGCTATATCGACTTGAAATCAGATAGAGCACTCGATCACTTCAAAGTCATATTGAAATTCGTAAGTTAAAAAGTTATTTAATATCATTTTAGTTCTGTTTTGTGTTTAACAAAATTATAATTTTGATCTCGTATTTTCGGAAACCAAATCTTATGTAAATAATATTAATAATAATAATAATAACATTAAACTCCAATTTAGTGCATGGCCACATCAAACATTTTTAGCTTACCAACTCTACTGACTCGAATTTTTGATCACTCGCTCACCCTTGATGGTTTGCTTCAAGCGAGTGCTCGAGTTTCTATGGGGCATACCACTTCCTTGTTCGAAATTTCTATGTGAGTGAACTCCCACTCTAAAACTATATTTTGTAGGGCTCTACTATACATAAATGTTTTAAATCTGACCATTTATTAAAAACGTATGACCGCCCTGCAATCTCACAAACGTTAGCTTTGCTGCTTGTATGTCTTCATCTCCCTTGTGCTCTCTTCAACTTTGTAACGGGTATCTGCTAGTCGTGCCACTCTACTATAGCGTTCTCCCTTGTTTTTTCATTTCAGCTTTCCGAAGTTTATCGTGATCGCGACGCTATAATTCCCAACCGATTCTATCGTTTTACATGGTAACCCCCTTCGATCGTTGAGTAAGTTAGCAAACATCTGTGATGTCTTTTGGTAGCAATTAGGTGAAATTGTACTGCATCATGCAATATTTTTTACAGGCTGCCTCTCTACTAACATTTCCAAACATATGTGTGTATGTATGATTCTTGGATTACCTTACAAAAAGTAATGTGTTTGGTTTTGTTTGCTTTATCAATACAAATTCCCGTACTAGGTCAATAATGCTAGCCTTAAACTTAACAAATAACTTTAAAACATTTCGTCTTCGCATACGGGGTTCTTAATTATTTTCCCTGTTTTGTTCCATTGCTAACGTTAATTAAGGCCTTATTTTTGTTCTTTATTAAAAAAAAAATTTAAAACAAAACATGCAAATGCAATAAAATGCTGAGTAACACGCTCGCCTTCGGACACTCTCCTGGTGCGCTTCGTCACTACGTGGACTACCGTCTACATTGATATACTCTTTCCTTTATGAGTACCGGCTACTAAAACTAGAACACTGAGGTGCAGCCTTAAATTTTGTGAAGAACTTTTCGAATCCCATACACAAATAACGTTGGAGGTTAAAACAGGAAGACAACCTTTGGGCACAAATGCTTTCTTATGATAGAAACAAACACTATATGCAATGGAAGCCTATTTAGATATGTACAATGAACATTTTTTTTACATACAAACGGAAAGATAACCGAGTTTAAATATTTATTTGTGTACGCTTAATTATTTCTGGTCGAATATACCTACAATTATATATAATATATGAGGCATTCTCTGGAAAAACCGGGCGGTTTTTTAATTGATATAGTGATATAGTCAACTCAAACACACAAAGTGACATTTGATGGATTTTGCATGTACGGTTGCCACCACATTTTTAAAAAGCTACAATTTTCAACGAGTGACTCAATATTTATGGAACTCAGGGCTTTTTAGTTAAAACCATTTCGAATTAAAAAAAAAAACAAGGAAGGTAGCTTACTTCGGCAAGTCGAAGTTTATATACCCTTGTTGGTCGTTCCTATATAAACAGAGCGAACATTAAAAACAAAAGAGAAAGCTAAAGTTGATGCCATCGAGTATCAGATACCCGTTACTCATCTTAGTGCACTGGGAGCACTCAGGGAGTGTGAGGTAGATAGAGATATACATGTAGCAAAGCGTCTGCTCCCAAGATTGCTATATTTATTTGCTTATAACTTTTTAATGAACGGCCCGAATTTTTGGCATGTAGTTGGGCATTGATAATCACAACGAAATCTCATTAAAATTTGTCGAAAATATTTTAATATGTGGGTGCTAACCGGGCTTCTAAGTTATGTGCGTTTGTAAGCGTAAGAGTTGGTGTTGCACTTTTCTGAAACAAACTTGCGCTGCGCAAGAAGCCCAGAATTTGCATACCCCATACCAACTTTCCAGCTATTATAGTTTTCGCGATCTCAGAGTTCATACGGACGGACGGAGATTTCAGATTTAGATTCCTTATCGTCGTTCGCAGCGCAAGTTTGCTCCGAGAATAGGCCACGCCCACTGTAACGCCCACAAACCGGCCAAGTCTGTGGCATTATTAAGTGTAAGGAAAAAATTGTAACTACAAATTTTTTGTTTTTGTCAATACCAATCGGTTGACCAAAAATATTTTGCCACGCCCACTCTATCCCCAACAAACTTAAAAAATCGTCCATATTTCGAAAACTGTCAAACATAGGAAGTTGAAATTTCGAATTTAGATGCCTTAAATTCAAACGCAGCGCAGGTTCCTAACGCCAACCACAAGCCCCCTCAAATTGTGGCACCCACAGTTTTAATTCTAGAATACATATTTTAACGGAAGTGTATTGGTCTCTTCAATTCCTTTTGATAGACGTACAAAAATTTACCATGCCCACTCTTACGCCCAGAAACGCGCGTTACGCTCTCTCTGCCGCGCCTTACAATCTCGATTTGCTGCTTGTATATCTCAATCTCCATTTTGCTCCTTTTACCTAAGTATCGGGCGTTTGATACGCGAGGCACTTGACTAAAGCGCTTTCACTTGTTTGACATGCATTATGCGGGTTTTAGTGTTATGGTCGTATTTAAGCGTTAGAGTGGGCTCCTGCTGAAACAAACTTGAGCTGCACAGGAAGCCCAAGAATCTGCATGCCAAGGCCCAGCTTACTCTTATAGTTTCCGAGATCTCAGCATTTATACGGACATACGGACAGACGGACACGGCTCAATCGACTTGGCTAGTCATCCTGATCACGAAGATATATACTTCATGGGGTCAGAAACGCTTCCTTCTACCAGCTTACATACTTTCCGACGAATCTAGTACAGCCTTTTACTCTACGAGTTGTAATAACGAAAAATGTGAAATTTTGTTTGCAGTCGCTTTGCTCCTTGCATAACACTATCTTCTTCGTACTCCCCCTACCTAACTAACGGCTATTTGATACTCGATAGCATCAACTATAGCATACTCTCTTGGTTTTTATACCCGTTACTCGTAGAGTAAAAGGGTATACTAGATTCTCGGAAACTATAAGAGCTAGGCTATTGAAATTTGGCGTGCAGATTCCTGAGCTTCTTACGCAGCGCAAGTTTGTTTCAGCAATGTGCCACGCCCACTCTTACGCCCACAAACAGCCCAAAACTGTGGCTCCTACAATTTTGATGCTAGAATAAAAATTATGACTGAAGTGCATTGTTCTCATCAATACCTATCGATTGACCCAAAAAAAAGTTTGCCATGCCCACTCTAACGCCCACAAACCGCCCAAGCCTGTGCCGCCTACAGTTTTCATGCTAGATAAAAACTTTTAACTGAAATGTATTGGTCTCGTCAATACCTATCGATTGATCCAATTTGCCACGCCCACTCTAGCGCCCATAGCGCTTAAATCTATCTACCACCGGTGGGTGGCGTATTTTAATCTCGCTTTGCTGCTTGTATATCTCCATTTCCCTTTGATCCCTTTAGCGGAGTAACGGGTATCTGATAGTCGAGGCACTCGACTGTAGCTTTCTTCCTTGTTTTTATTCTACTTTGGTTTAACAAAAAGCTGGCACGGCTTAAAAATTTGAAGTCGAGACTATCCAAAAAGTTAAAAGCTTCCGGATCCCAGTTTTATAGTTTTGTTAACACAAAGCGATCTGCCAGTTACCCAACTTCATTTAAATTTGAATATTTGGACGCAAATACAGATAGCCATTAGCCGATTTTTATCCAAGTTTTTTCAAACCACTTACTCAGCTCTTACTCTCCCAGTTCCCTTATGTCATGGTTAAGTCAAACCTAGTTTTTATTTCCGCGAGTAAGTTAAAGCTCACTTCTTTTATATTTGCAAAGGGTTAAACTAGTCTAGTACAGACCTGATGGAGTCGCAGGCTGAGACCTTATGTACACCACTGCACAAACTTTTTAATTTGTCTATAGAGATTTTCGATTTTCCACATAGATTCAAGGATTTTTTTGTTATCCCCCTTCATAACAGGAGAGAACTCTATAGTCGGCGGCCTCTACTATCAGATACCCGTTACCTAGGTAAGGGGAGTGTGAGGTTGATGGAGTTACACACGCAGCAAAGCGACTGTTCCCAATATTGAACGAACTGCAACAGTGCCACCTAACGTCGATTTCTTTTATTTGCTTATTACTTTTCAATGAATGGTCCGATTTCAATATTGGGTATTGATAATCAGAACAAAACCCTACAAATTATTCTCAAATTTGGGCGCTGACAGGATTAGAGTAGGCATGGCGCTCTGCTGAAATTAACTTGCGCTGCAAAAGAAGCTCTGCTTGTCAATCCCACTTTCTATCTTTCATAGTTTCAGAGATCTCAGTGTTCTTACGGACGTAAATATAGACAGAAAGACGGACATTGCTAAATCGACTCGACTAGTGATCCTGATCAAGAATATATATACTACTATAATCTTTTACTCTACGAAAAACGGAAGCTATATTTAAAACATATATATAACCGTTACTCGTAGAGTAAAAGGGTATACTGGATTCGTCGTAGAGTATGTAACAGGCAGAAGGAAGCGTTTCCGACCCCATAAAGTATCTATATTCTTAATCAGGATCACTAGCCGAGGCGATCTAGCCATGTCCGTCTGTCCGGATGAACGCTGAGATCTCAGAAACTATAAGAGCTTGGCTATTGAGATTTGGTGCGCAGATTCCTGAGCTTCTTACGCCCAAAACTGTTGCTCCTACAGTTTTGATGCTAGAATAATAGAATAATAGAATCAAAATGTTCACTGAAATGTATTGTTCTCATCAATACCTATCGATTGACCAAAAAAAAAGTTTGCCATGCCCACTTTTACGCCCACAAACCGCCCACAAACTTCAAAAAATCGAAAAAATGAACGTGGATATCTCGGAAACTATCTGAGATAGAGAATTGGTATTTCAGATTTAGATTCCGTAGCCCTGTACGCAACGTACGTTTGTTACGCGAATATGCCAGGCCCACTCTAACGCCCACAGCTATAAGGTGTAGTTGTCCGATCCGGCTGGTTCCGACTTATATACTACCTGCATAAGATATACGACTTTTGGGAAAGTTTCAGCCCAATAGCTTTAAAACTAAGAGACTAGTTTGCGTTGAAACAGACGGACAAACGGACATGGCTAGATCGACTCGTCTAGTCATGCTGATCAAGAATATGTATACTTTATGGGGTCGGAAACGTCTCCTTCACTGCGTTGCATACTTCTGACTGAAATCAAGAGAGCAAGAGAACGTGCGAAGACAACTACTATATATAGCCGCAGAATTGAAAATCTGCCATTATGGTCCGATCGTAAGGGCATACAAATTAAATTATACATTATATATAACTAACATTTTTTAATTAGTTTTGAATTTCGAATTTAATTTTATTAAAATCGGACGACTATGTCATATAGCTGCCATAGGAACTATCGGAAAATTGGTGGGAAAATAATATGAAACAAATTATAGCTTCCGTGTTTTTAAACATATAACCTCCTACGCTTTAATTAATTTTGATTAATTTTGATTTTTAATTAGTTCTGAACTTCGAATTTAGTTTTATCAAAATCGGACAATAAAGCTGCCATAGGAACGATCGGAAAGTTGGTTGTAAAATAATATGAAACAAATTATAGCTTCGGTGTTTTTTAACACATAACCTCCTACGCTTGGAAATAACAATTTTTAATTAGATCTGAATTTCGAATTTAGCTTTTTCAAAATCGGTCGATTATCACTGTGGACGGCAGTACACGTAGTGGCGAAGCGCGCAAGAGAGCGTGTGAAGACAACTACTATATATAGCCGCAGAATTGAAAATCTGCTATTATGGTCCGGTCGAATACGAGTGATACAATATAGTTTATTTATTTTATCGAATGTAATATCATATTTCGTCACAATTGTTGATATCAGAAATTATTGTTAAGGGGTGTTTTTGTTTGATATCATATAGCTGCCATAGGAACGATCGGAAAGTTGGTTGGAAAATAATATGAAAAATATTATAGCTTCGGTGTTTTTTAACAGATAACCTCCTACGCTTTGAAATAACATTTTTTAATTAAATCTGAATTTTGAATTTACCTTTATCAAAATCGGACGACTATATCATATAGCTGCCATAGGAACGATCGGAAATTGGTGGAAAAATAATATGAAACATATTATAGCTTAGGTGTTTTTTGACATATTATCTTATACTATTGGGAATATCATTTTTTGTATTTTTAAATTTAATAATTATAGCTGCAAGGGTATACAAGCTTCGGCTTGCCGAAGTTAACTTCCTTTCCTTTCCTTTTTTTTTGCCTTTAATCTATTGTCCCATTTATGCTTTAATTTCGGTTCATTTTTCCATCAGATAAATTGTGAAAAATTAAGAAATATTTACTTTGTCGTCAAATTTCAAGGACATGGTAAATGATTCTTTAGCAATGCAGTTATGTATTGAGAGTGTGCTTCAGTGAAAATATTTAAGATAAGTCGAATTATGTAGGCCGCATAATTTAATATGTGGGCAAACATCGGTTTTTTGTATTCTTAGCTATATCGCGGAACTTGCAAATATCATGAAATAGTAGTTATGGTTTCTGGATATGAAACATGAAAAACTTTGAAATCTGCATTTAGGGGAAGCAATCGAAAAATCCATTTACAAAGTCGGATTCAAAATCTAGTGATTTACTAGAGTACGT